CTCTCTCTCTCTCAAAAATAAATAAACATTAAAAAAAAATAAGAGGGAGATGGGAATACTACAATTCTGTCACCCCCTGCACCCCCCGACCAGAATACTGTAACTCTGTCACCCCCTACGCCCCCTGAGATCAGGCAGGGACTGGGTCCATCCTGTTTGTCAACGTGCCCAGCACCTGGTGCAAAAGAGGCACTCGCTTAGCAGCCAGGGAGCGAATGACTGGAGGAATGAAGGAATGAAAGACAAAGTCGCCTGCCCTTCTCACTTCTACCCAGAGAGCATACGTTTGCTGTTTCTTTCCTGGTGTTTTTCCCAGGCGCTAAATGTGTGCTTAAATAGCACCGTGCGTCCAGCCCTCCGCGAGGAGGGGGGCGCCCCCTCACTGTGTAACTTGTGGGGCTGAACCGGGGGGACCTTTTAACAGAGGAGGGTGGGGCGCCCAGAGGCTGCGCCTGGGCAGGGGCGGGCTTGGCGGGGGAACCCGGGGCGCCTCACCGGTGTGGATGTAGGTGTGTTTCTTCATGTCCGACTTCTGGTGGAAACGCTTCCCGCAGAACTGGCAGGGGTAGGGCCGCGTGTCCGAGTGGATGAGCAGGTGCGTGGACAGGGTGGATGAGCGCTTGAAGGCTTTGCCGCACATCCGGCACTCGAAGCTGCGCTCCTGCCGGAGGAAACGAGGCCCCGGGGGGTCAGGCGCAGGCGGGGCCTCGAGACCCGGGACTGCCACGCTGGGTGCAGGACCGGGCCCTGCCGGGATCCCCTGAGGAACAGGACACTCGTTGGGGTGGCCTCAAGAACGGGGCCTGGAGGAGAGGACCCAGAGACCCCCATTTCTGCATTTCCAACGGGGGCCAAGACATGGGGCCTGAGTGGCCTCCTGTGGGTTTTTCCCTGGAACCTTTACAGTATCCCATGCAAAATAAGCCTCGACATGCGTTTGTTGACTCACTGATAGACCGACTGATCTGGGGCATCGTCGTGGACTGTGGTTAAGGGTCTGTATTATTGGGGCCCAATTCTGGCTTCTGCCCCTTATAGGCCAACATGACCTCAGGCAAGTCATTAACCGCCACCCCCTCCCTGCTGAGACTCAGTTTCCTCATCTGGACGTTACAACAGCAGTCATGACCTCGAAGGGTGGAGAGCTGAGCACATGTTGCATTCACAAGCTCTCATGACCATATCCTGCCTTTCCTGCCTCAGCTTCTATTTACTCCGGTGTTAGCAACTCAGGTCATTCCGGGTGCTTTCCCTGGAATGGAATATTCAAGAAGGGCTACGTGGGACAAGACGGACATTGAAGCCTGACCCCAAGATTCTCGAAGTCGAGAGCCTCAAAGCTGAGGACACCTGCACTGATCACCCAGAGGGCAGGATCATTTCTCTGTGTCACAGACATCTCTCTGCCCCCCGAAATCCCACTGGGCCAGGAGCCTCTTCCAACAGCATGTGAAGTTGATTTGGTCCATCAGGGAGTGAAGTTTGTTATAATTGTATATATTATATACAGTTTTGGGGAAACTGTAACATAACTAGCATTATAGAACAAACATTCTCTCTAAAGAACAAATTTAGGGGCGCCTGGGTGGCGCAGTCGGTTAAGCGTCCGACTTCAGCCAGGTCACGATCTCGCGGTCCGGGAGTTCGAGCCCCGCGTCAGGCTCTGGGCTGATGGCTCAGAGCCTGGAGCCTGTTTCCGATTCTGTGTCTCCCTCTCTCTCTGCCCCTCCCCCGTTCATGCTCTGTCTCTCTCTGTCCCCCAAAAAATAAAAAAATAAACGTTGAAAAGAAAAAAAGAACAAATTTAAAAATATATATCATGTAATCATTTTTAGGAAGAGCAGGTTTGGGGGACCCAGATGGGGGAGGGAAGGACCCCTGGTCCGTGTCACCCTCAGGGGCAGGGCGAGAGACCCAGGCACAGCTCCCAGGCTTCCTGGGGGCAGCACAGAGCAGGACGGGGGTGAGGGGGCGGTGCTTGGCGAGCTGCCTACCTGGGAGTGGACGTGCGTGTGCTGCTCCAGGCTCACGGCATGGCCGAACGTTTTGCCACAGATGTCACAGGCGAAGGGCCGGGTCCCGCTGTGGGAGCGTCGGACGTGCACTTCGAGCCCATGTGGGGTGGAGAACACCTGAGGGCAGGGCAGAGCGTGAGGCCACGGCGGGGGGGGGGGGGGGGGGTGCTGCAGACGGGGAGCCGGGCCTGGGGTCCCAAGGCCACCCCCACCCCTCCACCTCCGTGCCCAGGCACCGACGGGCATAAAGTAGGGGAAGCACGGGGTTGCCGATTCTGCTGGCTTTTGCTGTGTGTCCTGGGAAGGTCCCTTTCCCTCTCTGTGGCTCGGTTTCCTGTCTCTAAAATGGTGGCTGTGGGAGCATTTAAAAGGTCCCTCCCGGCCCTCTCTAGAGGCCGAATAGTCAGCCCACTGGTACTGACGTCTACTTACTGTGTGTTCTGGGGCAAGTGATTCAACCTCTCTGAACCTTAGCCTTTCATCCACATCCCAGGGCTCAGGCGCGTCAAGTGCTTTGCACAGGCCTGGCGCACAGTCAGGGCTCAAACACCATGATGGGGCCCTGACCCCGCCAAAGGACCCGAGATTCGCAGCACAGGGAACCCCCGGCTGTGAACGCCTGCCCCTGCCAGGGACCTGCAGAGGGGATGCAGAGCAGGGCCCGTGAGCACCCCCCCCCCGCCGCCCCTCCCCAGCTGCTAAC